TCGTAGAATTTTTGAAAAGCTTCTTTTCTTAGTGTTTCTACAATTTCGTGGACTAAGTGCATCTTGCTGGTGTTGAGTATGTATATTATATTTAAAATTCGAAATGGTTACGTTTTCAATGAAGAAATAGTTGATTTTACTGTGAAGACGGTATTAGCTTCTTTCCTCATCTTTTTTTCCATAAGGAGAAAGTCTCAAAAACTTTGAAAAGTATCAAGGTATAGTAATATCACCAAAAATCTATCATTGTACTTGATGACTGTAGTTGATACAAGTCAAAAATTAACGTGTAAGATGAGAAGGAGGTTAAGTAACTGGTTGTGTGTCTTGTTTTAGGTGTTTACAATAAGTTATTTATTTGAACCAGTAAAGCTAATTAAACAACATCAACAACATTTTAACAATTATATTCGAATGGGCGCATACATTTGTATTCTTTTCTACATTCATTTCTTTTTAAATAAAGATTTTACTGACCTTATTTTCCAAAGAAAGACAAACCAAGATTAAAGTAACTTACTGAGAGTATTTAGAAATCGGATGAATTATTGAAGCTACTTCTAGGAATAAAAGATATTTGACCGAGCTGCTATGACCAACATGAAACAAAAATAACGTCGTCTGAAAAAGTTCGCATCAATTAAGGAAAGATTTAAAATTATATAGAGTAATGTGGGACAATTCAGTAATTTGTTTGTATCCTTGTAAGTGTTTTGGGAAAATCTTTGTTATTTTTGGGAATTTTCGTGCGCACTTTCGCTATGATATAAGAAGCACTTTTAGCTACCTGCCTGTGCAAAAATTGTCTTCAACACTCTCAGTATCATGATCGTAAAAGCGAATTACTGAATTACTCCACGGACATACATAGTTCTCTTTGGGGCCATTCAGTAGTCTCGTTAAAAGTGAACGATGTTTTTTGATTTTTATAAAAGATAATTATCTCAGGAATAATTAGATATTAGTAAGAAGATTTTTATATCATTGACTTCCTCTTATTCTCAAAAACACACTGGTATCAAATTCCAAGTCCATCTGACCAAAATTCATTGAGATTCTCTCGAAATAACGAACACCGGTCAAATAACGAAAGTGCGCACAAAAATCTCGAAAAATAACAAAGATTTTCCAAAAACAGTTACAAGGATACAAAAATTACTGAATTATCCTACATTACTCTACTCTTTTATTTTGCTACTTTACTCCTTTTCTACTTCACTGTGTCTTTCTTTTCCTTCTTTAGTGTCTTCTTCTTTCCTTATTTATCGCATGCGATAAATGCACAAGTAAAAAAAAGAGAGGAAAAAGGAAAACAGTAGAGTCGTAACTGGACATGGATCGGACCAAGATTTTTCGGGCCTGTCTCGCTTCCGAAAAAAATTGTGCTCATAAAACACGAAGAAAACAATCCGTTCATGCCGAAAAACTTTTTACTGTTTTTACGAAATTGTTAAAAAGAATTCTTGATTCCAGTCCCTGTCCCGCTCATGCCTAGCCGTAACAAATAAGTAATGTTAGACTGCATTCACATTGTATGTGGTCCTTGTTTCTAAATTGAAAAAGTATAATAATTTATTTAGAGAAGAAACTTTTCATTCTCATGTAGACTATACAGAAACAAACAAAAAAAATAAAAGACATAAGAGAACAAAATTTGTTTCTGTCTTGCGTAGATAAATAAGAGAGACTATTACACATTTCACGTGATGAACGAGAAAAGTTTCGGTAAAGTTTTGTGCTCATTGTTACAAGACAAACTCCACTCTATATCCATGACCTTAACTACGACCTTTCAGTTGAGTTAATATCTTTATCATTCATAACCAGTAGATGTATGACACAAACTAGCAAATGATCAAAATATGAACAAAAGGGCACAAAAAACTGTTCATGTTTACTAAGTATTACTCAAAATCATAGCGACGAGCAAATTCTAGTTGTATAAGAATGGTTCTTATACTTATAAGATTTAAGTATAGACACAGTACGCTTTTATTATGAGATTGGATCTTTGGGGATCCACATCAGACAGTGTAGCAGGAAGAACCTAGAAATTTAGAACTTTTAACATTATTATGGTTAGATGAGAATGGTGGGTAACGAAGAAGTACAGAAACCAACAAGATCAGAATTATCAGTAATTATTCATTTTTTCAAAGTCTATCACAATGTTGACGAATGTGAAAATTATATTAAAAAAACGTAAAATGAAAAAATTTGTTTGATTGTTAGCGGTGCGTATGGTCAAGCAATAGCACCAAGAATAGATAATTTAGATCAAATACAATCAATTTATATTTATTGTGTGAATGAAGATGCGCATAAATTGTGGATAAAACAATACAATAAGATAAATTAGTCGAATTTTTTCTAAAGTTTCACAAAAATGATTTTTGACACTATAAAATCGATAGTCTTTCTTTAAGTACTCTTTTCCGAGATCACTTTTTAATGATTTAGGTACAAAGTATTTTTATTACGACTGATACTTTACTGTCAAGACTACGTGAAAATCATAACCTAACACCAATAACATTTTATAGTCGTAATAAAACGGCTTTTTTTCTTTGATTTGAAGTTTTAATTGAAAACTTGATTGATTATCAATCGTACGTCTAATAAAAATAATCTCAAGACAAAACAAGAGTTGGTCGATGCTCGAAAATATTTTGAAGGAAATGATGGTCAAATGTCCAAAATAAATGATTTCGAACAAATATATGGTAAGAAAGCATTTATCAAAACCTGACATGGATAGATCAATAGAACGCGTCAATTGGAAAAAAATGTTTTTTCGAGTATTTTCTGGTGTACAGCTTGACCACGTAACGCGGCACTACGCTGATTAAACTTTTCAGAAATGTTTTTCATCGGAGTACTAAAATGAGGCTATCATTAGATGTAGTTTTTCGCGTTGATTACGAATATGGCCCTTTTAAAAAATTAAAATTAAAATTTGAATAATTTTTTTGAAAGAATTTAATTTTAAAATTTTTAAAAACTTTCATTTTAAATTTCTCATCTAGCCAATTTCTTGACGTACGGAAGCGTTTGGAAAAAAATTTTTTTTATCAAAAGAAAGCCCGTTAGTTCCTCTAAAAACTTGACGCTAGAAACTCTTAAGATGCACAACTCAATTCGTAGGAAATCAGAGTTATATCAAGAGTTTTCAAAAAATAGGAACCTTTTCTGTCATATCGTTACTTGCCGAAAAATCTTTCTGGAAGCTTGAGTCTTGAACCGAAAATCTTCATTTTTATATCGTAGGTAGAGTTTGGTGAGCTGCATCGAATGGTGCCAGAACGAAGTTTCTAGCCCCTACAGTTTTCAAGAAAAATGCAAATTACTGTGTCGAAAATGTCACAGCGTTACCTTTGGACACTCAAGTAACCATCACCTATGGAAAAAATCTAGATACATTTCGTCCGTAATCGGGCGATACACGACTAGTTGTCAGCTAGATAACTATTATCAAAATTTAAAACGAAGAAGATTGGACAAAATGCTTATAACTTTTGAACGAAAGGCGATAGAGACCTACGGTTTTCACCATTCGAAAGAGAGGATCAGGCGACGTATATCTATGGAAAAATCAAGACTCCCAGTCAGGTTTACCATGGTGTACCACTCAAGGGAAAATCCGAAAGCTTATCGTTCCCAAACTATACTTTGACATCCAATCTCAAATAATAGCAGTCGATAGCCAAAACATTTCGCTACAAAACTACGCAGAGCCCAGGTCTTGATCTCCTTAGGTTCTGAAGATACAGACGTTTTCCGAGGACACACCTATCTCATTGCAGACACGTCTGGGAATCTCAGAAACATGTGGATCATTGGTAATCCACCAAACTGATCATCGTAACGGTGTTCGTTTCATTCCTCGCCCAACCACAACTCCAGAAAAAAACAACTTGGTGAAAAGTCATTTTTTTCACGACTTTTCCCTTGAGTACCACCATGGTAACCTGATTGGGAGCCCTGATTTTTCCATAGATATACGTCCCCAGATTCCCTCTTTCGAATGGTGAAAACCGTAGGTCTCCATCGCCTTTCGTTCAAAATTTATAAGCATTTTGCCCAATCTTCTTTTTAAATTTCGATTATAGATGAATTGGGCGATACTAGATTTTTTTTTGGACGCTTGGGCAAGCCGTCTACTGAATACGAACGGATTACAAATTTCATTGAGAAAGATGATTTTCATGAAGAAACGAAAGGTTCTACTTTTGTGCGTTTGTAGTATAGTATATTTTTTTCCTTTCAAGTCAAGTTAGAAAAAGAATTTTTGGGAAAAACTATCTAAGAACTATTTCAATGGCTAAGAAGTCGAACTATTTGCTTCACTTTGATTAAAGAAAAAACTGTTATTTTCGAAAGAAATTGTATAGTTTTCACGGAAAAATCCAGTACTATATTTGAAAAAATCGAGTGTTGAGTAGCACGTTCCAGTTTAAAAAGGTTGTTATTCTCGACTTTCGAACTATTTTTCGACCAGAAATTTAGTATATTGTAAGAGTTTCCTTTTTTCTCTTATTTTTATCACTGGAATTTGTGTCACCTCATATTTACTAAATTATGGTATATGATTCAATTCAACTATTCTTTCATTTTTCAATTTAATATTTCTAGAGCCAGAAAATGTCGTTCAGTGGTATACTGCAGAACCATTTTGTTTACGAAATATTAAATAAAGCATTACGTTCATATGATATTGATACGATAATATCATTTCGTTCATTTATTAAAGGTTTAAGTCAACATTTAACTGTCCTTTATCAACGTAAATATCAAGGAAAAAAAAAAGATGTACTAACTGTTTATCGTGGTCAAGCTCTATCTATCTAATAAACAATTACAATAAATAAAAAATAATAAAAATGAGTTTATGGCTTTTAACAGTTTTACATCAACAAGTAAACGAGTAAAAATTTTTTTAGCAGAAGCATGAGATGGACAAATGCATAATTTACACTCAGTTTTATTTGCAAATAACGATTAATCAAAATAAAACAAAATCGTACGCTGATATTTAAAAGTTGAGTATGCATGAAGAAGAAGATGAAGTGCTATTGATAATTAGTAGTATATTTTGTACTGATAAGGGAATAGGTGAAGATAAAGGAAAATAGATTGTTAAATTAACATTAATGGATGAAGAAGCTTATGAATTACATGATGTTTATACTTTTGTACATTTTTATATTGAGTTTTCGTGTAGTCAAAGTAATAAAAATTATAATACTTATTATTAGACATCTAGGCAATAGGAAGATATCCCTTCGCTCATATGTCTTTATTACTTGACCAAATGTAACAGAAGTCTTCGTTTTATTTTCGCAGTAAAAGAAAAGGTATAATGGAAAGAACAGAAGTCTAACAAATAAAAAGATCTCTTGGATTACTACAATTAAGCATAAATGATCCCGTACACTAATTTCTGAGAATAATGGATAAATGATTCCGGTTTCCTTAATTATTTTTAATAACTTATATAATACCACAACTAACATTTGAAAAAACTTTTTTTCCATGAATGGTACAGTTGATTGGGAAATAGTTAATTAATTTTTTAAATGATACAAATGATTTCGGAAAGGAGAGGGGAATTAAATAAATAATAAATAAATTCTATGATTAAAGTGAAACCATATAGTTGTTCAATGAGTCCCAGACTGAAAGACGCTTCCTTGCTAAGGAGGGGAGACGAAAACAGACAAAGTCCGCCATCTCTGAAATTGTCCTTATATTCATGGGCTTGATGTAGTTTACATTTGGGCGTAACACTGGCATCAAAGTATCTCTTAAAACTGCTTGATAGGATGGTAAGTTTTTCTTGTGGTATGTGCCGATTGTGTTGATACTCGTATTTTGTTTGTGATTGTTTTACACTTTTGGACAAGATAAGTAACTGGTTCGATTAGTTTGATTGAAGAACAATGCTCTTAGACATATGATTGCACGCCTCAACTGAAATACTCTTAGAATAGTCAAATTACACACCAGGTTTTGTGGAATAAGATGACTTTTGCCATGTGTTACCTGAAGTTATACCTCTTATCTTTTCTCCGGATAACAATGGGAATATTGAAAATAGTGATATTGGATCAATATTTTCCGATTGAGAAATTCGAGACAAATTATGTTGTTGTCTCAGCTGAAAAACGTACAATTCTATATAGTGAACTATTGGTAAGTACTTACTTAATACCGATTGAACTTTATGTTTTTGATCGAGAAGCGACAGCATTATTCCACTAACATCAACATTTTCAGATTTCGACATTACAGTTGGTTCTTTATAACAGTTTATCAACGCACAGACTATCATTTTTCGAAAGTATTCTTGATATCACATCACGTTCATACGAAAATATTATTTTTGTTTTAGAATATTATTTTACGAAATGCAGTGAAAAAGTTTTGTCATTTTATAACCATGCTGAGAGCATAAGCGTCTACTTTGAAACACTGTCCCTACAAGGCAAAAGAAATAGAAATATTGCATCAATATTTTCGGTACACTCTAAACAAACTGTGTTCTTCCGTTTTTCAAATCAATGGAAATTCTGTTCTTCATTTGTCCCAAATAGAAAGCTCAAATTCTGTTCTTCAGCTCTCAAGAACGCTTTGGAAATTGAAGAACAAACTTTGAGTTTTCTATTTGGGACAAACGAAGAACAGAATTCCCATAACGGAAGAACACAGTTTTTTTAGAGTGATACTAGATAAATTCAATCTTTGATAAGTCAGAGATTAGTGGAATTATATATTGCAAAACCGATACAATTAGAAAAACTGTTTCTGTTTGTATATCACTTACACAATCAACACATTCATCAATATTATTAAATGATTTAATATAATTAACTAGAGAATATAAGTGAATTTTCAATTGGTCGTTCACTTCCTCTTTAATACTGAACTAGACAAGTGTGAAAGCTGCGTAATTTTCATCACCTTCTTTTACAACAGCCGCCATACTAATAAGAAAACAGAATGATCAGCTTTATTCTGCATCTTAAATATGCATATATGCTGTAGCAAAAAAACCTTAAATTTGTAGTTTCTCCAATCGAAATTAGAACTAGATTCGTGATTCTAATTTTGGCTTGCCAAACTTCAAATTTGAATTCTGACTGACTGTTATTCAGTCAAATTTAAAACTTGATTGGTCATCTTCAGCCAAAACTCAGATTAAGATTTGAATCTTACTGTCATTCTAATAGGCAAAAAGTGTCCCTGATTAAAACTTAAAATCATAAGTGTGTAGATGCATAGTTTCGGCTGACAGACATTGTATTACTTTAGAAAAGATTTTGATTTATGCAAGATGTCTATCATTCCTTTCTAAACGATTTCGACAATCATTGTATTGGGTTGATTGTAGTTAGCGAACAAGAGCGCATCTCCCGTCATAGGATAACCAAGAGTACACGAGAGTTTTTCGCTAATGCACGAACTATTGTGAAAGCTGAAATGCAAAGGCCACCATTGAAGCAGGCTTTTGAGAGGATATCCTGTCTTTATAAATCCAGTTTCATAAATCACACATTTATGAAACTTGGATGTTGAATTTTTTAACCCAAAAGTTACATAAAAATGAAAAATTTTATGAAACTTATAAAAAGTTTCATAAATATGTGATTTATGAAACTGGATTTATGAAGACAAGATAATCCCTTTTGAGTAACTCGAAACTCCATCACCGGATAATTTTGACTTTTTTCAATATAAAACATGTCAGACTGAAGAATGAACGATATCCTGTTATCTAATTTCCACAGTTATTTTGGTAAAAGGTCGTTGAGACTTATATCTCATTCTCGTAGAATTTTTGAAAAGCTTCTTTTCTTAGTGTTTCTACAATTTCGTGGACTAAGTGCATCTTGCTGGTGTTGAGTATGTATATTATATTTAAAATTCGAAATGGTTACGTTTT